AACTCAGCCCTCTCCAAAGAAATCTCATTTCTTAGTATTTCATTTTCTCTTGTTAGGCAGAAATTAAATTATATTTTAATTAATTAATTAAATTTAAATATAATTTAATTTTTCTCCTCGGGGGCAAAGGGGGGTGGTGGTGGTGGTGGTGGAGGCAGCTATAATGAAAACAAGATGCAGAAATCCTGTTCTATATACCTGGGTTGGATGAACGAGCAACTGCCAGACTCGATCCTGAAAGCCCAGGAATAAATATCCCGTCTCTCCCTCGCTGCCCATTTAAGAGCGAGGCTCCCTCGTGGAGGAAATGGTGGAGACTTGGAGCAAAGGGAATTTTCAGCTTAGGGACCTCGGGATTCCAAGGGGCGCATTTACAGGTGAGAAGGTGGGGGCCAGGATCGTGAGATTTCCAGGTCTGCATGCCGTCTCACCGTTAGGAATGTACCTCCGTGCATCACCTGTGCCTCCTTTCTCTTTCCTGTGACCTGTGGTCACCCTGGGCTGTGTGACCTGGGGGCCCAGCTCCCTAAGTCTTGAGAATTTCAGGAAGGTAGCAGCAGAGCCATGGGCTGAGCCCTGTCTCCGGGTCGCCTGGTGCTGCAAAGGCTACAAGCCCAGGGAGGCAGCCCTGGTCACATTTTCCGGTTCAAACAATGGGTTTGGAATGCCTGCCTGCAGATTTGGAAGCACTTGGAAGTGGCTAATGGCAGAGCCATTCAGAGATGGGCATCGCGCAGCTCCCCAACCCTGAGCGTTTCCTTGATCTCTGGGGAGACTGGGGGGGGGTGGGGAGAGCTTGGGTGGAAGATCGCCTTCCATGTGTCCTTTCCAGCAGGCAGTAGAGAAAAGCCACTCAGGGGCCTAATAACCCAAGTGGGGAGGGAGGAAGGAGAGTCCCTCGTTTGCTCCTTTATCCACCCCCCCCAGCTCCCAGTAACCATGACAACCTGGCACCGCAGACACTGCCCCAACCTCCCAGGGCCACTGTCGCCAAAGGCATTCTCAAGGCTGTGCTTTTATGTGGCGGAGCTGTGGCCCCGCTCTTGGCTCTTGTGTGGAACCCAGAGATGCTTTGCTGTTTGTCCCACAGGGTATTAGATGGAAGGAACTGTGCTCGCGCCGCAGCACTTAGGTGGCCTGATCTGGAGGGTTCTGTGCTGACCGGGGAGCGTGTGCATGTGTGTGCGCGCGTGTAGTCTATTTCTGTGTCCTGCACCACGGTGTGCGTGTCTGTGCGTGTGGGTGTTGCGGTGAGAGACTTGCCGGGAGAGCGCTGGGGGGTGAGGACCGGGAGGTGGAGGAGGCAGGTTGATCGGATCCTTTACCACTGACAGGGTGGGCCTCCTGCCCCCTGGGGAAACCAAATTAAAAAGAAATGGGGGAGCTTTGGGAGAAAAAGAAAGAGAAATAGGCCTGAGCGATGTGGCATTTCCTGGCCTGGGGCCTGGGGCAGGGAGGCTTTGGAATTTCTATAGGAAGCCTTCAGACCAGCTGGTTATGGGTTTTGTTTTGCTTTTATTCCCCCAGCCCTGTTGCTCTTGTATCCTTTTCAGAGTTCTAAGCCTGTTGACGTGGCTGTTGGATACAACAGCAATGCTCCCAAGAGGCAGTGTCCTGAAGCTCGGAAACTAGGCCGTGGCCTGGAGACCAGGGATGCCTGCACGATAACCCGGCCAACCCGGCCAGCCTGGGTTTCCAGAAGCGAGGGCCCTTCCTTCCTTGAGAGGAGAGGAGGCCCCCACCCCCAAACCCTCCCCGTTGGCTCTTGACAACACAGCTTCTGGCTGCCTTTGGTCACTTTGGGAGGAGGGAGCAGAGGTTTTGAAGTGAAGGCATGAGTTGAGTCATGGTTTCCCAAGCGGTTTAACCCAAACTTTTTTCTGCACGATTCAGGGTGCCCCAGGACTTCATTCTCCCCCTCCCCAAGCACTCCCCTTGCAAGCCGCCCTTGCAAACCGCGGCGCACCGAGCTATTTTAGGCCTTCTGTCCGACCGGTGTTCTCGGCTCTTGTGGTTTTCTGTTGTGAGTCAGTTTTTTGTAATAAATTGTGTAGGCAGCCGGGGGTCTGTCTGCCTTTCCTGAGACAGGAAAGGACAGCGAGTCCTTGACGTTTGGTGAGGTCGCAAATTCCTCCAGAGCACCCAGGCGGCCTGCTGGGCCCCAGCCAGAGTCTGCACTCGCAGGCCAGGCCAGGCCCAGAAGCAGCTGCGGGGAGGTGGGTGGTGGTGGTGATGGGTGGGTGGGGGGGGGGAGGAGGAAATGGTTCTTGGAGCTCAAGGGGAAGGAACATCATCCAGCTTGGGGGGTGAACCTGGTAACGAAGTGTCCCGGGCTGCTGTTTGTGCTCTTGTCTCCTTTCCTCCTTCTGCTTTTCTGTTCCCATGTGTCAGAGGAAACTGACGACATAACCATAACCGCTTCTCACAATCATTTTTTTTAAGATTTTATTTATTTATTCATGAGAGACTCATCAGAGAGAGCGAGTGAGCCACAGGCCGAGGGAGAAGCAGGCTCCCCATGGGGATCCCCAAGCGGGACTGATCATCCCGGGACCTGGGATGAGGCCCGGAGCCAAAGGCAGATGCTCAACCGCTGAGCCATCCAGGTGCCCCTTCACAATCATTCTTTTTTTTTAAACCCCGGACCCGTTTGCACAAAGATGCCCTGCAATCTCGTTAGCTGCCCTTCTGCCTTCCTGATTAACGGTCCCTTCTGGACTTGAACATAGCATAGCCGCCACCCGCCATCCCCTCCACCCACGCATAGGGGCCTTCCAAGGTTTGCTTCTCGCTTCTCTTACGGACTTGCTCCATCTACACTTTCTCGGGTCAGACCTTTCCTCTTCTCTATCACCTTCCATGGCTCCCCTTGTTCCATAGTGCTGCTGACCTGTAGAAGCAGAAAGTGTGAGCCACAGAGGCAGTTTAACAATTTTTTAGTAGCCACATTTTATTTTATTTATTTATTTATTTTAAAGATTTTATTTATTTATTCATGAGAGACACAGAGAGAGAGCGAGAGGCAGAGACACAGGCAGAGGGAGAAGCAGGCTCCATGCAGGGAGCCCGAGGCGGGACTCGATCCTGGGTCTCCAGGATCACACCCTGAGCCCAAGGCAGGGTCTCAACCGCTGAGCCACCCAGGCGTCCCAGTAGCCACATTTTAAAAAGTGCATAGACACACATTTTACTTAACCCCACCTATCTGGAATATCATCGTTTCCACATACAGTCAGTATAAAAAATTATGAATGAAGTACTTCATGTGAATGTCTTACAGTTTTTCAAAATCCGGGGTGTGTTTTGTGTTGACATCAGATCCCAAATTGGATGCTAATATTTTGTCAGAGACGCCTGATACAGATTCAGAGCTCATTAAATTTGCTCTTGGAAAAGTAGATTCACATAGCCAAGGTGCCCCTTGGAGAGGTGGGAAAACTTAGGTAAGTTTCTGTAAGTTTCTGTAAGTTTTGCAACAGTGTGCATGCAGTATTAGACATGTGCACGTGCAGTCATATTGGACAGCCCAGATGGAGAAGGTTTCCATCCTTCCAGAAGGTTCCATCTGGCAGGCTTATTCGATAAAGCCCAAACACCTCCATAGGGCTTTCAAATTTTCTACAACCCGGCCCCAACCTGTCTAGCTTTATTTATTGACTTTGTTTTACATGTGTCCACTTTCCCATGCTTCTTCCCCTTTGAGGTGGAACCTCTCTTTCCACGTGGAGATCTCATTCTCCTTTGTTGGTCTCCGCTTAAAGGCAGAGCTTCCTTCAAGGAGTCTCCCCTTCTCCCCTTGGCAGAGTTAATTGCTGCCTCCACTTCCCACGGGCGCAGCATGTGGGGGAAGAGGCCTGTCTAAGCCCCCGACCATGGCACACCGCCCTGGGAGCTCATTTCCCTATTTCTCCTGAGGCAGGTTTGAATGGATCTTCTAAGGCAGCGTGAGCCCTGCCCATTTAGAAAAACAGAGCCATACAAAGGGCAGCACTGTGTCCTTCTCCAGCTGCCCTGGGGCTGCTGAGCACGAGGCTGCAGACAGGAACACACCGGGTACAGGCCCGGGGTGGGGTGGGCGGAGGCAGTGGCGAGGGGGCCCTTTCTTTGGCCTCATAGAAGGAAATAACGTGCCTAGCTGCTCTGATACTCCTTTTGCAAAATGGGAGCTGGTGTGTGGTGTGTGTGTGTGTTTACTTTTTCAAAAACTAACATATAAGCAGAAAAGTGCACACATCTTCATTGTATCACTTGGATTTTCACGTAGTGTGCATACCACCCAAGCCTACCCCCAGATGAAGAATAAGAACAGGGCCAACCCCTAGAACACCCCCCCCCACCCCCCACCCCACCCCTTCTAGCCACCACTCCCCACCCCTCCAGGATTTAACTGCTTTCCTGACTGGTGGCTCATGACTCATTTCGCCTGCTTCTGAACTGGGTGTAGATGGCATCCCACCGGGTGCCTCTCTGCCCTCTGACTTCCTCTGCCCCCCCCCCCCACTATATTCGCAGATACAGTGACATAGTTTGTGGTTGACTTGGAACACCTTTGTCTTTTCCGGCACCTAAGATGCTTTTAGTAAAAAAAAAAAACCCACAGTGGTTAAAGAGGAGAGGACGACACTCGATGTGAAAGACGGGGCTGTCGTTGGTTGGTAGTTTCAAAGCACCAGGAGAGAAGCGTCTGCTCTGATTGGGGCGATGTGTGCCCTTGGGACCTTCTAGGTTTTGATGATTTTTGGTTGTAACTGTTTACCTTTTAGCTTTATTTAGGGAATCCCTCGTTACGGTGATAATTCTTGGGTCTAGGAGGGACGCTAACTCCCTTTCTGGTTTTTGGACAAGGCTGCACGCAAGCCATTTCTTCCTATTTTCCATTTGGTAGAAATTGGGAAGATTGGTATGGAAAAGAGAGAGAGAGAGAGAGAGAGAGAGAGAGAGAGAGAGAGAGAAAGGTGTCACTTGCATTTCTGATCTGGTATCTTCTGCTTTTGCTTTAGGTAAAATGTCTGTTCCAGGATCCTACCAGGCGGCCGCTGGGCCTTCCTCGGTGCCAACTGCACCCCCATCCTATGAAGAGACGGTGGCCGTCAATAGTTACTTCCCTATGCCTCCTGCCCCTGTGCCAGGGCCGACCACGGGGCTGGTGACGGGCCCGGATGGCAAGGGCATGAATCCACCAGCCTACTACACCCAGCCAGTGCCCGTCCCCAACGCCAATGCAAGTACGTGCCACCTCCCGCGCCCCCTTACCTGTCTCCTTCGCCCTCCACCCTGGCCTTGGGGCCCCTGCAAGAATCAGGGGAGCCACAGAGGTGACTCTGCCTAAAGTCCAAGTGAAGTGCCAGTCAGTCTGGCCTGACCCCTCGCCCTGGAATGTCACTTCTAGTCTTCTGAGTTCCACCTCTGGGGTGGGGGTGGGGGGCTCATGTCTTCTCCCCAGTAAAGCACAGTTTATGAGCTTTCCCACATCAGCCACAAACCGATCCTTTGGTGCTAACTGCCCACCAGTCATCCCAGAGGAATTGGGGAATAGGAGTTTGCGTTCAAAGGCCCCTACCCTTCCTGCTGACACTCCCTGGGACAGACCCTGCCCCGAGGCCAGGACTGGAGTGGAAGAAGGAGCAGAAACAACTGGGAGTTAGGAATGGTTGAGCAGGTGCTGTCCCAGCCTGCTTCCCTGCCTTCTAGCTACTTCTTCATGGCCTTATCCCTGGGGACTTCCCGCTGCCCAGGTGCACCCAGGTGCACGCAGGTGCATAGGTGATTCAGTATCACAAGCAGCCGAGGAGGGAATAGCCAGCTCAGAGAGTAGGCCAGTGGGTCAGACTGCCTGGATTCACCTAACTGCCTGGTGACTCAGTTTCCCCTCCTGTAAAATAGGGCTCATCAGGTGACTCCTTCAGTGGGTTGTTCTGATGAAATGAAGTTCTCTGAGGAGTCATTTGATAAAAGTGAGCTCTTGTCCCCGGGCTTGAGTGACTTTGACGCTATCACACAGAAGAGAACAAAGTGACTTCAGACTCATCATGCTCTGATCAAAAATTCATTCTGCACCAAAAAAAAAAAAGACTTTTATACAGTTTACATGTAGGTGTTATAGTACGCTCAAATACTGCTTTTTCTGGAAGGAAAGACTTCCTAGGTCTTTCTAGGACAATTAAGTTCTGAGAGCTAGGACAATAATTTCCCCTAATACACAGATTATAGAAACGGCATTTCAGCACCGCAGAGAGGAACAGAAGGGAGTCACTGTGACAGAAATATGAGCTTAAGCAACTTTGCCAAAACGCAAAAACATTCTGAATGCTTAAGGACTTCACGATTTATATCACTCTGGGCTCTCCTCTGGTAACCGGGAACGCCTGTACATGTTTTTCACATAGTTTGCTCTTTTTAGCACTATTTTATATCTTTGTTTCATGTATCAGCTCGATTCCCGGACTCGTTGCAAAGCCTGGGCCAGTATTCCCCAGCTTGGTACCAACTCCAGCCCTGTCACGGGGGCGGGGTGGGGGGGGGGGGTTGAACCTATTAAGGAGTCAGGACCACGTGTGAAAGGAGGGGAGTGTTTCATCGAGGGTTTGATTTGGGTTCGCTGTGACCCAGAGTGTCAGGTTCTTTACTATCCTTCTGTCATGGGACCCTGGCAGCAACCGTGTTATTTCCAGTTGTAAAAAAAGAGTTAAATTGAGATACAATTCCCATTAATGCCATAGGGTTCACTCTTTGAAGGTGTCTGATGCAATGGTGTCAGTGCAAGCATCGGCGCCAATTCCAGAATATTTCCATCACCCCAGAAAGAAATCCCGTCCCCATTAGCCACCTCTCCCCATCCCCCCTGCCTCTGGCAACCACTAATCTATGGATGAAGAAAATTGAGGCTAAAACCCCATCATATCACTGTTTCTGGAATTACCATCTGCAGACCACCTTTGTCGAACCACACAGGGAGCTTAAAGAGCCTTCTGGGGACCCTGCCCCAGACCTGCTGACTCAGCCTGTCTCAGCGGTAGGGGCCGGGGGTGGGTATAGGGCCCAGGAACCTGCATTGGCAACATTGGCAGTTAGTTCCCTACCCGATTCTGTGGTCAGTGAGTTTGAAAGCCTGGTCGTGCTGAGCCAGACCCCCGCTCCAGGAACTTGTCCCCATCTCACATGGCAAGGGGGTCAGGGGCATGCAAGCCTCCCAAATGATAATGCTGGAAATCTGCCACTGTTTTGGTAAAGCACACATAAGGTAAATTTGTCACCTAAATTTAGCGTCTCTCGGTGTACAGTTGAATGGCATTAAACACATTCAAGTGATCTTGAAACTGTCACCACCATCTCTTTCTAGAACTTTTAAAGGTATTTTAAAAATTTATTTATTTAAAGATTTTGTTTATTCATGAGAGACACAGAGAGAGAGAGAGAGGCAGAGACACAGGCCGAGGGAGAAGCAGGCTCCATGCAGGGAGCCCGATGTGGGACTCGATCCCAGGACCCCAGGATCATGTCCTGGGCCGAAGGCAGGCACTAAACCGCTGAGCCATCCAGGGATACCCCTATTTTTACATTTTTACAATTTATTCATCAGAGAGAGAGGGAGAGAGAAAGGGAGTGCAAGCAGGGGGAGGGGCAGAGGCAGAGGGAGAAGCAGGCTCCCCACTGTGAGCGGACTGATCCTGATGCGGACTCAATCCCAGGATGCTGAGATCATGACCATGACCAAACCAAGGCAGGTGCTTCAAGGACTGAACCACCCAGCCCCCCCCCCCCAACCAGAATGTTTAAATCTTGTAAACTTGAACTTCCAGACCCAGTAAACAGCAGCTCCCCATTCCCCCCTTCCTGGCACCCACCATCTCCTCTGTGAATTGGATGACTTGAGGTGCCTCCCATACGTGAAATCGTGCATGCCTTGTCCTGTGCCTGGCTCGTGGCACTCAGCACAACATCCTGACGGCTCATCCGTGTTGGAGCGCGGGTCAGGGTGTCCTTTTAAGGCTGAGCGAGCCTCCGCCGCGTGGGTAGATCCCATTGTGCTTAGCCATTTGCTCACCTGTCCGCGGGCACCTGGGTGGCGTCCACCCTTTGGCTCCTGCAAGTGGTGGGCACGCCAGCCCCTGTGGGGACCCAGCCCCCCCCATCCCGGGTCGTCTAGCGGATGCTCTCCCCATTCACCGATCGCCTCTACCTGTCCCGCCAGTCGCCGTGCAGACCGTCTACGTGCAGCAGCCCATCTCCTTTTTTGACCGTCCGATCCAGATGTGCTGTCCTTCCTGCAACAAGATGATTGTGACCCAGCTGTCCTATAATGCCGGTGCCCTCACCTGGCTCTCTTGCGGGAGCCTATGCCTGCTGGGGTAAGTCCCGGGGCCCTCATGGACCCCAGGCTCCTCCTCCTTCCTCTCAATCTGTATCACATCTGTCTGTGTTGCCCCCCCCTCCCATCCCCAGCACCGCAGGATGGCAAGCTGCACCCCCTGACCTCTGCCCTTGATGCCCGGGGCACCCACCCCTCCCTGCTGGGAACCACTGCTCTTGAGCCGATCAGCACCTAGAAGCTGCTGTCACCCCTCGCCTGCTCAGACCACTCCCTGCGTGCAGGGCCTAGCACAGCAGCCCCCTGCATCTGTCGAGTGATACCCTGAGCAGTGTCTTTTTTTTTTGGAAGGATTTCATAACCGAGTTAATGATAATGATGTTAGCCTGACTCTGAGAGAAGCTTTGAACAACGTGCACGTTATACTTGATAGCGATCTCTTTGAAATTTTTTATTTTTTAAGACTTTATTTATTTGATAGAGAGCACAAGCAGGGAGAGCTGCAGGCAGAGGGAGAGAGAGAAGCAGACTCCCCACTGAGTGAGGAGCCCGGCATGGGGCTTGATCCTAGGACCCCAGGATCATGACCTGAGTCAAAGGCAGACACTTAACTAACTGAGCCACCCAGGCGCCCCTCTCTTTGAAACTTACCTTTTTATGACCCCAAGTATTTTTCGCATTGTCTATACAGGGAAAGTGTATGTTTATGTCTGCACCAAGGGTAGTATATTGCAAGAAATTATGGTTTTTGTTCTGGAGAAATTTGAGGGAACGCAGTTTAATTAGCCCCCCCCCCCAAAAAAAAAAAAAAAACCAGATAAAGGCAGCCTCTTTATTCCTGGCCTGGGAGTCACTCAGAAAACCACATGGGCTCTATTTTTCTCCCTCGAAGGAAACGGTATCTGTGAATCTTTTTTTTTAGGAGCCCTGGCCTCTTGTACAACTGGCGTGTTCCTCATTGGTGGCTTAGCTCTAGAAGGAATGGTGTTTCTCTTCCTCATTTCGAAGAGAGAGGCTCAAAGCCCCCGAGAGCTTAGCTTCCTTGAAGACACACGTTCAGTGGGGTGGAAAGGAGACCAAACAGGTTTATTGGCACCTGTTTCCCTGTCCTGCCCACGGGACTGCAGTGATGGCTGACCTCTTCAGCCCCTGGGCAGGAAATGTGAAATAAAAGTTCATCGTCCTGGGACATTTTTGTATTAAAACTCATTTTTATCTTTGAAAACTGGGGAAGGACAGGATGAGAGCTATTGAGGGTCAGAACTATTGAACGATCCAGCTCTCAAATCGAGGCAGCTTTTCTGTCCCTCCCTTCTTTTCCTCCTTAAATATGGTATTGTGGGTTCTAATCCTACCTCTCACTGGTGTGTGACTGGGCAAGTGACCTCAGCTCTCTGTGCTCCAGTTCCCTCCCCTGAAAGCTGGAGGTATCATGGAGCTGTGTTTGTAATGCAGGAGAGCCAAGTAAGGATTAGTGCTAAGGCACTGTGGCTGCCCTTTCTTGAACTTGGGTAAACTTAGGCAGTAGGAGGAAATTCTTTTCATAAGATTGTTTCCTGGTCAGGCTGCATCCTGTTTCTGCTTTTTGTAAATCAATGTCTTCCTGTACATAGATGATTTTTAAAAAATTGAATTATAATTAAAAAAATTGAATTATAATTGACATACAATATTCTATCAATTTCAGATATACAAGATAGTGATTTGATGTTTTTATACATTATGAAGTCACCATGATAGGTCTAATTACCATCTGTCACCATATAAATATTACTATATTATTGATTATACTCTCTAGGCTGTATATTATAAAATGTTGTGTTTTTTTTTTTTTTAAGATTTTATTCATTTACCTGACAGTGAGAGAGAAGGAGCACAAGTAGGAGGAATGGCAGGCAGAAAAGGAGAGGGAGAAGCAGGCTCCCTACTGAGCAGGGAGCCAGATGCAAGCCCGAGAGCCCCATATGTGCTCAGATGTGGGCTTGATCCCAGGATTCTGGGGTTATGACCTGAGCCAAAGGCAGATGCTTAAACGATGGAGCCACCCAGGCACCCCTAAAATGTTGATTTTTAACAAATTTGGGCAAACATTGGTCATAAGGCTGTGGGGGTGCCCCCAGTCACAAGCCTCAGGTCACCCACACTTCTGATGACCAGCTATAAACTGAGGGTCCTGTTATTCCTTCCTCACCTTTGATAATTTGCTAGAACGGCTCACAGAACTCAGAAAGACACTTTCCTTGCATTTATCAGTTTATTATGAAGGATACAAATAAAACAAGAGCTAGATGAAGAGATACATAGGACGAGGTCCAGAGGGGTCCCCGGTGCAGGCGCTTCTGTCACCGTGGAGTTGGGGTGCACCACTCTCCTGATGTGTTTACCAATGCTGAAGCTGTCCGAATACAGTTGCTCAAGAGGGTTTATAACCCGATCCCAGCCCTAGTTCCCTCCCTGCGGTCTGTGGTTGGGGCTGAAAGTTCTAACCTTCGAACCATCGTGAACCAAGGGTCTTTCTGGTGACCAGCCCTGTCCTTTTTTTTTTTTTTTTTGTATATATTTTTAATTGGAGTTCGATTTGCCAACATATAACAGCCAGTGCTCATCCCATCAGGTGCCCCCCTCAGTGCCCGTCACCCAGTCACCCCCACCCCCCGCCCACCTCCCCTTCCACTACCCCTTGTTCATTTCCCAGAGTTAGGAGTCTCTCATGTTGTGTCACCCTCTCTGATTTTTCCCACTCATTTTCTCTCCTCTGCCCTGGTGGCCTTATTAGCATAAAATCAGGTGTAAGTGAAAGGGGCTTGGTTTGAATAACAGAAGACTCACCTGTCAGCTCAAGAAATTCCAAGAGTTTTTTGGAACTAATTGCCTGGGAACTGGGGACAAAGATCAGATCTATTGTCTTCTACCACAGGCCACCTGCAGGTCCTGCCTGGGTGTGCTGATAGTGGGTTACTAGATGAAGAGATGTCATTAGGGGAATTTTGTTTGGTCGTTGCTGTCAGAAGCAGCCTCTACACAGGGAAGAGTGATCAGTCTAGACACCAGGGTTAATAAACTCCAGCCCATTTTAGTTCTGTGGGAACATATCACACCATCTGTTTACAGATTATCTATGGCAGTGTGCAGGCCTCGGCAAAACAAGGCCTGTGTTGCCTAAAATGTGGACTAGCTGGCCCTTTACGCAAGAAGGTCACTGACCCCAATCTAAGAGTGACAGATGCTCAGATGACCCAAGATTTGAAAACACACCGAGGGCAGTGTATCCGAGAGCAGTCCTGGCATTGGCTGGTGGCTTCGTTTCCTCGGGCTGCCATTCCCAAAAACCACAATCCCGGCGGCTTAAAACAACCAAGATTTATCTTCTCAGGATTTTGGAAGCCAAACGTCCCAAGCAAGGTGCTGCGCTGCCCCTGAAGGCTCTCAGGAGTGCAGAATCCTTTCCTTACTGCTCCCAGCTTCCAGTGGCCTGGGTGGTCCCTGGCTCTGGCTGCCAGATTTCAATCCGCCTCTTTGCCCCCTCCTGTCTTTCTGTGTGTCCCCTCCTCTTGGAAGGACATCAGTCATGGGGTTGAGGGAGCCCACCTGGACCTCCCAGGATGGATCCCGTCTTGAGCTCATTCATGACACCTGCAAAGACCTTGAGTCCAAGTAAGGTCAGAGCCATAGGTTCAGAGGGGTTAGGACAACTGACCTATCTTTTTGGTGGCCACCATCTGAAACTGTTACAGAGGGTAACGCACTCCGTGTGTGGCTGTTTTTTATTCTTCAGGTGCATCGCGGGCTGCTGCTTCATCCCCTTCTGTGTGGACGCCCTGCAGGATGTGGACCACTACTGTCCCAACTGCAAAGCTCTCCTGGGCACCTACAAGCGTTTGTAGGACTCGGTCAGACCTGGAGGGAGCCGCGTGCTGCCCGGAGTGCTCTGCAACCCTCACCCGGCCCCGTTCCGCCTTGGTGGCCTCATCTCTCCAGGGGCTCCACCCTCGTGTCTTCTTTTGGGGGAAAAAATATATCGCAAAAAGTAACACACCTCCAAAAAACCCCAGAGATTGCTGCTTGGAGTCGTGCGCAGGACATGCAAAGACATTCACCTTGAATGCTGGTTCCCGCCTGCCGTGACCCCAAGGCACCCCACCTTAACTGTGACTGTCGCCCCTGTCTGAATATCTTCGGGTGGTTTGCCATGGGCCAGCTTCGTTTACTGGCCTCCGTGGGCCTTCCTGGGGGTGGTCTCAAACCGAGAAGCTGCGGCTTGCCTTATTTTTGAGACTGTTCTGGCCCACAGACGGCCGGCCCCACCTTCAGTGCCTGCCACCATGTGCATCTGTTCCCACTTCCAATGACAAAACTCTTGCCTTAGAAACAAAGGGCTTGCCTCTCAGAGCCTTTTCGTTAGCACACAAATTCACTTTGATTTCTTCATTCCTTCTTTCAGCACAAGGAGGAACAATTCACACCCACCACATTTATACCCTTGAGATCATAAATACGTGCTAGAAACATGTAGGGCCGGGTCTTGACCATGGATCTTTTCCTCAGTTCTCCGCACCAGACCCTCAGCCACTTTGCACGAAGGGCTTTTTTTCTAGTAGGGGAGTCATTTATATTCACCATTTTTATGACCCCCTTTTGGTCTTTAACACCTTTGAACATAATTTTGGAAGGAGGGATTTATAGAACCATTTTTCTTAACTGTAGGATTGTTACTACTTTCCTACTTCCCAAGGAAGGCACTCTTTTTTTTTTTTTGGTTCTTAACAGAAAAAGCAACGGATGATTTTTATCCATGGCCTCATGTGGGTTTAGTGCGGTTCTACGAAAACCTCTATAATGGAACTCTTCAAGTGGGACCCCTTTGGGGTTCCCAGTTGTGTGTTTAGAGAAACAGGAAAGCACAGTGTGAGCATCCAGGTACCATGGTGCTGGAGAGCTTGGGGACTTACCTGTTTCAAAGGAGTTTGAATTCTGACTTTATTTTTCAGAGATACCTTTCGTTGTATGGCATCAGAAGACATGATTTCTAAGACTCAATCAGCAAACCAGAGTTCTCATTTAGCTGCTGCATCAGCTTTGAAAACAAGATAAAACTGGGCTCGAGTTTCGAGTGTCCCCATTTTGATGATAATAGACACAGAGAACGCACATGAATGATAATACATAGAAAGGAAGCCTAGACCTGGAACACACACACACACACACACACACAAATGTGTATATTGGCCGAAAATTATAGTTCTAACCAGTGATCCAGCTTATTCTTTTGATATTTTGAAAGTCCCAGTAATTATTTTTGCAATGAATACGGATACGACATAGTCCTTTGGTGTTACCTGCTTTTAAAAAATAAAGTCTTAAAAAAAATAAATTAAAAAATAAAATCTTTGGTTCACTCGGTGAACTATTTATAAGTTCTTATGATGTGAAGGAAATCTTGTGTTGTGTTTTCCAGCCACAAAGAACCTTTACTTGTTCCATAAGGGTAGAAAACCTCTCGTGATTAAAAACGTCAGACTCGCTGAATATCCTTCGATGTCAAGATGACCGATGTTGAGTTGGGTGGATTGCTAGCGAGTCCGACTGGGACGTTAGGCTCTTGGAACCCACCAGGCATCATCTATGGCAGCAGGCCACAGCTTTCAAGTTTTGAGAAAATGCACAGAAGAAAGCGGTCCTCATTCATTCTGCAAACAAAACATGCTTTGTTAATTGATCCGGGGCAGTTGTGAGATGCTAGAAGGGGGCATTGTAACTGGCCAGGAATGTGAATGCCATCAATCCTTTTCCTACCTGGCGATAAAGCTTCATTTTTCAGAAGGCACAGGAGAAGACCATCATCTTGGTGTGGCTAACGTTGTCATTTAGACCCCAACTTGCACAGTCCCCCCAAAATTGCCGCTCACCCTATCTTGTTTGTGTCTTTTTCCTTTTCATTTGACAAAATGAAGGCCATGCATATTTAGCAGTTTTGCTCAGATGGGGGTATACAAATGGTCTCAAGCTGTTATTAATTACATATGCAGAGTCTGCAAAACAACAGCCCTATTTCAAGGACCATAAAACATACTCTGCGGAACTAAAAATAAAGTCAGATGCCCAGAGTAGGAAGCCTCCATCCTTCATTCCCTTGTATTTTTTATTTTTATTTTTTTATCATTCCCTTGTATTGTTGAGAATGCAGGCTTACTCCTATATGGTTGCAAATCAAAAGGATCTTTTGTTTAGCCTCTGTTCATCTGGGCTTTCAGAGTTAAGTTTGTTAACATGGAACCACTTTCAGGTGATGCAAGACCTTTATACCTACTTGGACCTCAACGAAGAGGGTTACCAATTTAAGCCTCAAATGGCTGTGTGTCCTGTTTTTCCTACTGTGAGTCCGTCTAGGAGAGGTGGGCTTCTCCAGAAGTGGTGGCTTGTGTCTCATTAACAAAAAGTATTCAGACAGTTAGAGCTTCTATTAGAGCCAACTGGAAGCACATGACTGGTTCCTGGCTGACCACGGCGCTACCCATGAAAATGTTTTCTCTGGGACAACTGGCTTCCCAGTTGCTACTGAGAGCGCTTCTGTTGGGCGCCGAACTATTCATCAGTGCAGCTTCATACACACACAGCTTGGCTTTGCTTTTCTCCCCCAGCGACAGTGTCTCATGTGCAGGATGTTAAATCCTCCTCTGACTTTCTGGGCTCAAAGATCTCCGTTGGGAGTAAATGTAGATTTTAGAATTTTTACTTCCAAAATTCTGATTTGCATTTTTGATCCTATTAAAGTTATCTCCTGCATGTATGACTCAAATGTTTACAATGAGCCGTCTGTTTTTCATAGGCGCATGAGAGAATTCTAAGTAGATCCAGCCAGGCAATGAAAGAGAGAAACCAGGAGTTTTTTCAGTTGGTGTTTTTTTTTTTTTTTCTTTTTCTCCCCAGTCTAAGAATTTTAAAGAAACAAGATTCTGAGGCTCAGATTAACACACACACACACACACACACAGTTAACAGCCAAGTGTACCGGCTTGCGCGTTTAACCATTTTGTGCCCAGTCTCCACAATATTAGGAAAATATTCATGCTTTTTTTTTTTTTTTTTATGATAGTCACAGAGAGAGAGAGAGGCAGAGACACAGGGAGAGGGAGAAGCAGGCCCCATGCACCGGGAGCCCGACGTGGGATTCGATCCCGGGTCTCCAGGCTCGCACCCTGGGCCAAAGGCAGGCGCCAAACCGCTGTGCCACCCAGGGATCCCAATGTTCATGCTTTTAAGTGCCTTTATTTCCCTTTGAAATAAGCTATTTGAGATCAGTTTGAGGTTCACAGCAAATCTGAGCAGAAAGTACAGAGATTTCCCATGCACCCCCTGTCCCCTACCCATCCCACCCGCCCCCTCCTCAGAGGAGATTTGTTACCAATTATAAATCTGTGCGGACACATCAACACACAAAGTCCAGGGTTTCCAACAGGGTGCACTCCTGGTGGTGCACCTTCTATGGGTTTGGACAAAAATGTGATGCCACGTGTCTGCCCTTGAAGGATCCTACAGACTGGTTTCACAGCCCTGGACATCCGGTGGTCCATCCATCCTGTGGATTCATCCCTCCCTCCTCCTTAACCCCTGGCAACCGTGAATCCTTTCACTGTCTCCATAGCTTGGCCTTTTCCAGAGTGTTTCAGAGCTGGAATCATCCAGGACGGAGCCTTTTCAGATCGGCTCCTTGCCCTTAGCATTATGCATTGAAGCTTCCTCCCCGTCTTCTCATCTTCTCGTGGCTTGAGAGCTTGTTTGTGTCGAGTGTATTCCGTTGTGCAGATGTACCACACATTCGAGGGGGTCTAAAGCTCTCAGTGGGCAGCGTCCCTAAGTGGCCACATGCTGTTTCCCAAATAGGCAGCATCAGCTTAGTGTGGGGGCGTGGGGAGTGACTGCATCCTAATTGCACAGTGTTGGTGAACCTGTTTGTAGGGTTGTGTGTGTGTGTGTGGGGGGGGAGTCACTGTTCAAAGTGAGCGCAAAGGGCAACATCTGGGAGCCTCTGGTCTGCCACGTGTGGTCTTGGCCTTGTTTCTCATGGATCGACACCTGCTGGACCCGGGGCCTTGTACAGCTGGGGTGCCAAACACAGCCCTGCCTGATTAAGTGTGAGTGGTGGGCTCAGCACGGCCCTGCCCATATTTCTGGTGGCTCTTTTTTTTTTTTTAAGATCTTATTTATTTATTCATGAGAAACATAGAAAGAGAGGCAAAGACACAGGCAGGTGGAGAAGCAGGCCCTACACAAGGGGCCTGACGTGGGACTCCATCCTGGGACTCCAGGATCACGCCCTGAGCAAAACCAGGCATCCCTCATCTTTTTTTTTTTTAAGATTTTATTTATTTATTCATGAGAGACAGAGAGAGAGAGAGAGAGAGAGAGAGAGAGGGAGTCAGAGACCTAGGCAGAGGGAGAAGCAGGCCCCATGCAGGGAGCCCGACGTGGGACTCGATCCCGGGACTCCAGGATCACACCCCAGGCCGAAGGCAGGCGCCAACCTGCTGGACCACCCAGAGATCCCGTTTTTGTTTTTTTTTTTTAAGCTGAAATTCTCCTCCATTAAAATGTCGAATGCTGTGCCATTTAGAACATCCATGGTGCTGTGCAGCCATTGCCCCTCCCAACTTGCGAACATCTTCATGGGCCCCACATACAGCTCCACACCGTGTGAAGTGCTCATGCCCCTTCACCCCTCTCCCGGCATGTGGCATCCTCTAATTTGCCTCCTGTGCCTCTGGATTGGCCTCTTTGGGATATTTCACATAAACGCAGTCATATGATCTCTGGCCTTTCCTGTCTGGCTTCTGTCAGTCGGCCTCCTGTTTTGGGGGGCCATCCAGGTTGTAGCATGTGTCGGCCCTTCACCCTGCTACTGGCTGAGAAACACTCCGTGGTATGGGGCTATTATTCTGCATTTTGCTTGGGCCGCTATGAACCACGGAAGCTGGCGTTCACGTTTGCGGGTTTCTGCATGGACGGCGGTTTTCGATTTTCCCGTGGATCTGCCTAGGAGTGGGATTGCTGAGCCATGTGAATTCCCTGTAATTTTTTTGAGGAACCTCTCAGTTGCTTTAAAGAACTGTCTCCTACAGGGACACCTGGGTGGCTCAGTGGTTGAGCATCTGCCTTCGGCTTGGGGCGTGATCCCGGGATCTGGGATCGAGTCCCGCGTCGGGCTCCTTGCGTGGAACCTGCTTCTCCCTCTGCCTGTGTCTCTGTCTCTCTCTCATTGTCTCTCATGAATAAATAAAATCTTAAAAAAAGAAAAAAAGAACTGTCTCCTACTGCAAAGCTGCATCTAGCCAAAGATCCCTGTTTCAAACCAACCTGGCGTAGAGAACTTTGTCATCTTCTGCTGCAAGAGCCATTTGGAGCAGCCTGGTGGCCACAGAACCTGGATTCAGAGCAACCCGCACCCAGGGCTGGCCCGCCCCAACTCCTGGGCCGATGTGAACCCCATTCAGGCCTTCTGGGGCTCTCGATAAGCCTGGAAAAATGAGGAGGGGTGGGTGCTGCCCCTCAGCGGACCCTCTTTTGAGAAGATGCTACAGGTTCCAAAATAGAGTTCTCAGGTGCTGTTGGTCACTTGTTTACCTGTGCGCCCTGCTTGGGGTACAGCAGTGAAGCCGAGCATTGTCCCCTCCCTTGTGCAGCTGACCACAGAAGGGGACAGAGAGACAGCAAACGAACCTAACAACCTAATGTTGCAAACTGTTTGTAGCCAGGAGGGAGAAGGCGGGGGAAACAGTGCAGGGCAGTGATGGCCCACGTCGGGGGGGGGTGGGGGGTGGGGTGGGGTGGGGGGGTGCCTCATCCTCTAGAGGTCAAGTCCTTCCGATGTTTCCTCCCTGCGAGGAGGCTGCCTTTGGGCTTCTATGCCCGAGGGGCCTGAAAGTTTGTTTGCTGTTCTGTGCGGCTTCCAGTATGGGGTGGCTTCTGGTGGGGCGTGGCTCTGCCCACCTGCCTGTGGTCCTCAGAAAGTGGGACACGTGCCCAGAGGGCTGCAACATTCTCCTAGGTGTCTGCCCCTGAGTGTGGGGACCTCCCCCTGAAGCTGGGCCACCCGAGCAGACTTTGCCATCCTCAGACATTGTGGGAAACATTTGATGACCACTTTCAACTTCCATCGGGGAAGGGGGGGATTTCTATTGCTTTGTTCCCGGCACACCCCAGGCTGACAGAGGAGGGAAGGGCATGTATGGTAAGAACTCACACAGCATCTTAGGATAGTTCTCTCTCTCTCTCTCTCTCTCTTTTTTAAAGATTTATTTATTTATTCACGAGAGACATAGACTGAGAGAAAGAGAGGCAGAGACACAGGCAGAGGGAGAAGTAGGCCCCATGCAGGGAACCCGACATGGGACTCGATCCCAGGACCCCAGGATCACGC